CCTGTCCTCTCAGCACAAATTACTTCATCTGTAAGTCAAAGAAATTTTTGAGGACATCCTGCACAGACTCGTACTTTTTCTGGCTGCCCACATGGCTAAATAGAACTTGAAAAACAAAGGGAAAAATGTTGATGTTTCACAGGTTTTGGAAATATGTAAATAAATTCTTGGGATTTCATTGAAAAGCACCCAAAGACTTTATTCATCCTGCTGTGAATGTGTGCAAATAAGTGGCAATCGTTACCACAGAGTTGCAGGTGAGGGAGCTCTGAAGCTTGAAGACTTTATGGAGGTCGGTGGCCTCAGCCTCCCTCAGCTTCTCTTCTGTCATCTTGACCACAAAGCGCAGTGTGATGTAAAAGTGTGATGTTCTCTTGTATCTTGTATCTTTGTTTCCTTCCCTGTGTCCCTCGTGCTCGCCTCTGTATTTAGTCAGTCTTGTCCACCCTGATCTCAGTGCCAAATTCACATTTTATTGTCTTTGACTCAGTGTGTGTCACTTCCTGTTTTATTTTGACAGTACCTCATCTCGTGTGTGTCTTGTTCAGTGTTCCTTTCTCTGTCTCTTTAGTCTGCATTAGTTCTAGCTGTGTTCCCTTCTGTTGCCCATCCTCTCGTTATCCTGAACGAAATTCTAACTCTACTCAGTCTACCTCTGCTCGTTGTCACATCATCCCAATTTGTCGTGTTTCCTTTGTTTATCCCTAGTTTCAAGTTCCGAGTTTTACAGTTTCCTGGTTTCCTCCTGGCCTGCATTTTTGTATTTTTTGTTTTTACAGTTTCTTGTTACAGCAAATGAAGCTGCCTCCTTTAGTTTATTCCCTTGTCTCCGAGTCCTGTGTGTGGGTTCTACCTTGCCTGCCACACAGATGTTACATGAAACAGAGGTTAATAACTGTCTCCATCAAAATGGTCTAAAAAGTACAACAAATGAATAAGTGTATATTTATTAAAGTCAGTTTAATATACCTACAAAACCAGCAAAGCTTGAAAAGAAAAGCATCTGGACTTCTATAAGTTGCTTGAAGACCTTTCACCTCTCATCCAAGAAGCTTCTTCAGTTCTAAAGTCAAATGGTGGAGAGTCCCAGATTTAAGCCCTGTGGGAGTGTCCCCCCAAAGGGACATGGAGCCCCTAATGATCCTCTACCTAATCACATGAGCCAAGGTGTGAAAACGGGTGTAGGTCACAGTCAGCCAAGATTTCGGGTGAACTCATCGTGGAACCTAGCCCCTATCATGTGATTTCCTGAGGTCAGAAGGCCCAGGATGTGAGTGGGCGTTAAGGCGTCTGTCCTCTCTGTCCAAAAGATTTTGGACTGAGAAGACAGATTGTTTGAAAGAGGAGTGAAAGAAGCCATCTATGTCCACTGTGAACGACCATCTTTGAACAGAGGCGGTGGTTTATGACACCAACTGTCTGCCATCGGTAATCCAGTTTTGAGATCCCTTCCCAGACGCCTTAAGACCCACTCACATCCTGGGCCTTCTCACCTCAGGAAATCACATGATAGGGTGGGGCTAAGTTTCACAGCTCACCCGAAATCTTGGCTGATTGTGACCCACACCCGTTTTCACACCTTGGCTCATGTAATTAGGTAGAGGATCATTAGGGGCTCCATGTCCCTTTGGGGGGACACACACTCCCAGGGCTTAAATCTGGGACTCTCCACCATTTGACCCTAGAACTGAAGAAGCTTCTCGGATAAGAGGTGAAATGTCTTCAAGCAACTTAAAGAAGTCCAGACACTTTTCTTTCTAAGCTCCTTAGACTATGATGACCTGGATGACTGAGAACCTTCACAGACATGTAGTTTATAAAGTTCCTGCTGACCTGAGCATGGTGAAGGGCTGGCAGAATCCCTGTCAGTGTGACACACACAAATATGTAATTACTTAATTAAATTATTTTTGTTGTATATGCATTTTTTTTAAATTACATTTCATACTAATTAAGTGCAGGTGGTATGAGTGTCTCAAGTCCTGCATGTTCAGTGTTTCAAGTCAGTGTATTCCACTATTATATTATTTGTCCGTTTTTACAGGTCAGGAATGTGTCCAGAAGCAAATAAATATGCTTAAACGACCTCTGAAATTTACCCAATATTATTTCACACAGATGTGTAATGGATTTCACTTTTTTACTTGAACTACTGGTGTGGGTATAGCAAACACTCCTGCTCATATAAAGTGTAAAGCTATGTGTACAGTTGCCGTGCCCCTGATTACTTTCTTCTCTTTAAGATGTTTTTTATTTATTATTTTGGAAAATGTGTTAAGCTAGTCTGAAGTCATTCATTAAAAAATAAGCTATCTCTCTGTTAGCAGCTAACTTGCCAGAGAAGATACAAAGCCAGAAAACTGGGTTAGAGTTCCTGCCTCTGACCAGCTACAAAAGGGCAACAGGTCCAAAAAACCAGCGATAAACAAGTTTATCAAGTGTAATCCAGAAAATGTTTCCTCCTTGAACTGTTTACAGCATTTTATCATTTACCAGAACAGTGTCAACAAGTCAACAATGCCTCGCATTCGTCTTATCATTTTGTTGCATTTGCTCGTTTCCTGATCTTAAGCATTTCCTTGTGATATGTTCCATGGAAAAACTCCTTAACTGTGAAATTATTCATCATTTCATTTTTAAGTGAAACAGCACGAAGGAATTAGAAATGTGTCACAAATTTATAATAGAAAGAGAGGATGCAGTGATAGCAGCATGTGTGATTCAGAGTCCTCTCACACTGTAAGCCTCGAGCCACTCACATATTTTCCTCTTGGACTCTTGGTCCTGTTCCCAGTGTTGGAGGCCTTTCGACTGGAGGTGCTTCTCACTGATTCCTTCTTCACTTGCACACTGCTTGTCTTTTCTCCTGGTTTCTCCTCTGTCTTCTCTTGCTTGTGGTTGAGGAGGTTCTCGCAGTCACACTGGTCATCTAGTTCTAAGTGCTTTTGATTTGAGCAAAACCACTTCCCAGAGCTGTAGAGAAGCTCTACAATGCTGGAAAATGGTGATATCACCCCTACAGCAAAGTAGAAGAGGAGGAAGATTGTTTTCTCTGCAGGCCGAGAAGTGTAGCACTCCACTGTTAGGGGGCAGGGAGAACGACTACATGGAAAATGGGCCTCCACCTTGAAGCCGTAGAGGCACCACTGGACAAATAAAAAGCCGATTTCTGCCATTATGCGGGAGATCAGAGTGATAATGTAGAGCGCCCTTAAAGTTTTTTCTTCTCTGTTCTCCCTGCTGGTCTTTTTCCTCAACGAGGAGTGGTTGGCTTTCTTGTGATGCTGATGTGTTGCATATATGAGGTAAAGCAGAGAAGGTGTAGCGATGAAGACTATATGAAACATCCAGAATCTGTACTGGGAGATGGGGAAAGCTAAGTCATAACACACCTGCTTACATCCTGGCTGGAGGGTGTTACAGGTAAATTCCTCCTGCTCGTCCTCAAACATGTCACTGGCCACGGTTTCCAAGATAACTATCCTAAACACCAGCATGAGGACGAGCCAGAAACGACCCAGCATCGGCGACTCGGTCTGGAGGGCATTGAAGAATCCACCGATGAAGCCCCACTCACCCATGGCTGCAGCACTGTCAGGTCCAGAGGTTTGTTCTCCGATCCGTCTCAGATTCGCCACCTTTGTTTTAAGAATGAAACCAGAATGCTTGTTATCATAATCTCCAATCCATGACTTTCACTCAAAGTGAAACTAAATCTGGTCAAAAGTGGGCTCAGGATATTTGCATCTTAGGTGTTGACTGAGTCCTGTGGGCTTAAACTAAAAGCCTACAATAATTCTCAATTTCTGTTGCCTTTAGTTAACACATCAGCTCAAAGAAATTGTAAGAAACTAACAAGCTAATAGTGTGGAGTCTACCGATGCAGTGTTGTCTCAAATGTAGGATTGAAAATGTGTCTTATACCGACTGGTTGAACTACTCACCTATGTTTTAGAGATGTCTGTTCTGCCAAGACAAAACAGGTTGAGCATAGATTTTCTTTTTGTGTTTGTTTATTTAAGAAAGACAAAATCATGATGAGTATTTTAAAAAAAAGTTTCCTTTACTGGATGGAAGAATATCTTTAAAGTTGTACCAACACGTTTCCTGATCACAGCATGACATGTTTTGTTAAATATAAAAATTATACATGTAGTTTCTTAATTTAGTCAGCAAGAACCAGAATCAAAACAAATTTTTTGTTTTTGGTTTTAAGTTGTTAGATTAAACTCTGTAAAAAAGAATTTCTTTTGTGACCCTGGATATGGCATCTAAATTTGATCAGAACTTAATTACTGAATATTTAAGTAGTAGTTAATTGAAAAAAAAACCCAACATTTTAAGTTATATATCATCTACTTTTGAGGTATAACCAATCAGGGAAAAACAATCACCCTTCTCTGTTCCTCAGTCGTCCTCTCACTTGTCCAAACCTGTTTAAAACTCCATTCACCTCTCTACACAAGTATGTCATGTAGACTAACGACCTTTCCACTCTTCATCCTCTTCATAGCTTCCCTCCCTTGCTTCTTGCTAATCCTCTCTCATCCTCTACATTACATCCTTAATACAGTCACAACATTCTCCAGATACTCCTTGATAATAAAACATTACTTACATGTAGATATTTCTGAGTGCTGTGTCGTCATGACACCCAGCGCATCCAATGTTGGCTGCTCCTCCCTCGACATACAACATGAATATTACCCAGAAGCAAAATATTTAACAGGTTACATGAAACAGCACACAATCAACCCGTGACACGACTTCCAACTTACTGTACAATTAACACAAACAAGCGGATTGCACAACACATTTCGAGAAGCTAAGAGGAAATAAGCCTAAAACAAGACTTTTTTTTCTTCCCTTTGATATGATGAGAATCTTTATTTTGAAACAGTGAATTGGATTTTTTTTATGTCACACAGATTTCTGTTCCATTTATTCAGTAAGAGTCTCTGTCGTTTGAAAGCTGTAAGAACATAGTTTTGAACTTCAGATCAAACAACATGGCCGGAGCCAGAGAAGCCGTTCTCTGTCGTCAACGTGGGCAGAGGTTCCTCACTGTCGAGCACACAGTGGATGTTACTAATAGTCTCACATGTTTTGCAGTTGGGAATCTTCATTTTCCAGCCTGTGTGAATGCCTTCAACACCAAGCATCAGCACAGTGAGGGTGATAGGAATGTTCTTGTTACAGTTATTCTTAAGCAGGTTTTCCACAGTTGAGAAAACATGGTAGGCGAAGTGGCTGGAAGTAGTGCAAGATATCTGCAGCTTTAGCGGCCGAATTGTCCAAGTGCAGAACACTGATTTATATTTAGTTTCCAACAAAAGTTAAAATTAACCATACTGTCAGCAGAGGACATGACAAATGCTAAATTGTTTGCCATTCAGTCACACAAACTTTATGAACACCACCTTTAGAGGGCATGTATTTTATAAAGCGCCTGTTGACCTGAACGAGGTGAAGAGCAGGAGGGCTGGCACAGTCCATTTGTGAATTCATTATACAGTATATACATGTGTTTCTGTGCATTTCACTCTGTTTGTATGCTGGTATGATTTATAAAGCCCTACAAGTTTGGTGTTTCAAGTCAGTGTGTACCACTGTGGACAGCAGAGGGCAGCAGAATGCCTACTATAGGTCTGCCTTGTTTCCGTTGGTGTCATGAGATCACTATCCTAGCAAGACTGATCAGGCTAACATTGGCATGTTTCTTCTGCTCATTATTTCTGATTTTTCACAGGTCAGTAATGTGTCCAGAAGCACAGAAAATATCCCTGATTAATTTCTTTTGTTTCAAATGTTGTTGTGTGTTATGTTTGTAAAATATGCTAAGCTAACCTGAGCTAATTCATAAAAATGGTTAACAAAATTAATAGAAACCATGTGGATGAATTAAGTAACAAAGGAAGCAAACACTCTGGCAAGGCTAACCAGGCAAAAGGTAGCATGTGTCCTCTCCTTTTTAATAACTTTTACAGGATCATGAGGACCATACCGTACGACAAAGTCATGTCCGCTGTTGCTAGCCGCCATTTCTGCCACTTGCCAGTGTTGAAACCTGGTGCATTGTGTTGCTGCTGCTGCAGCTGGGTTGGAAACAGAAGGGTAGCATTGTTGGTTTTTACAGGCGTTTTAATCAGTCAGTACAGAAACTTAGATATTCACAGATTATACAGAGGATATGTTACAATAGTTTGAGAAATTTTGACTTCTCCTGAGTGGCAACACCTAGTACAGGAGAATACTGCAGTGGGTATTTATAAATCCTAAAATGGAGAGAAACCTGCATCAGTATACACAGTGTATACAGTGTTAGCCTATAACTGTTTCTTACAATTTGTTAACTAAAAGATAAAGAAGCAGGTATTTATTATACGCTGCTGTTAATGTTTTATTACTTTCTACATGTTCTAATGCAGTGTTTCATTTTTGATTCCAGGCAACTGGAATATGAAGTCAGTTAACGCCCAAGCTGGATAAACCTCCGATCTACCTTTAAATGGACGGGTACCTAAAGCGACCAATGCACCAGTGAGGTCATAATCTGATTCAAGTTGTTGATTGCCACAAAATTCTGGCCCAAAACAATGATGGCCATCATCAGATATACTGCAAAATAAGAAAGAATTGAAACCCAGTACAAGAAAATTCAGTCAGTGTGGCTCACCAGGAACTACAAGAATAATATTCATTTTCTCTAAAAGGCTGCCGTGCTTATTTTTCCTATCAGTACAACCTGAATCCTCTGCTGAGTTAGAGTTTCTGCCTCTTGCAGCTACAAAAGGGACACAGTTACAAACAAAACAATCAGCGTTAAACAAGTTTATCAAGCGTAGTCCAGAAAATGTTTCCTTCCTGAAATGTTTACAGCCTTTAATCATTTAAACAACAACGTCTTGCATGCATCCTTCTTATTATCGGTGTTTTCTTTGCTCATTTTCCAAACAATCCTTGTAAAGTGTCCCACTGTAAATACTGTTTAACACATCAACAGTGAAATCATTTCAAATGAAATGGAGTTAGAGATGTAGTCACAGGTTTAAAA